GAGGCTGATGCAATAGTCTCAACATGGCTTTTACAGCCTACTGGAATTAGAACTTCGTGCCCGTGAGTGGTTGTAGCAACATTGTTATTGTTCAGATTATATAGTTAATAGATTTAAATTCTACTCCGAGCGAGGAGCGACATTTTTCTCACGCGTACAGGCGCACACAATGCCACGTATGCCGGCTTGGAAGTTTAAATAGAGCTGTCTAGTATCACTCATAAACTCATAAACTACAAATCTACGACTTTAGAAATAGTTAGGCATATTAATTAATAAATGACAAATACCTTGTGATACAAACAAAGTCCGTGTAATAGAAGAGGTTCTTGAAATAGTTTTTCAATTGTCCTTAAACCAAAGTCGAGCTTCAACCTCACCAACTTCACTGACTCCGCCCCCACCTCTCTATTGGAGGATAAAGTGGGACTTGTCTTGTCAATTACTGTGACACCCCACTTGTGAGTTTCTCTGAGAAACCCACCTCATCCCTTTAAATCAAACATGTACATTGTGCAATCATGCATCACCCAACCACCACACACACACACACACACACACACATGCACTTCTTTCGATTGTGTGAAATAATAATCTTTATGTTCTAATTAAATTCCAAAAATGTGAAATATTGAAATCCTGCCATTGTGGTTATCATTTTTCACAGGAAATAAGATGGTAAAAAAAAGCAGGTGTTGTTAATCAAATGCAATTTTTTGACGCTCGGCTGCTCGGCAAGTGGGAGGACCTCTCCGGTTTTCTGGTGTGGAACAATAATGCTTCTCCAGTCCTTCCCAGGAGCGAACATAACATCAAATTCACCCCAAGGTTAGACTGTCCAAGAAAAGAAAAACCCAAGAGCTACATCTCAAACTCTAGAGGTCTCGGTTAGCATGTTAAATGTTGAAGTTCATGAAAGTGGAGAAAGGCTTCTTTTTAAAGTTGCATTTAAACAAACCACAAGACTTCTGGAAGTCTTGTGGTGTCCTTTGGACAGATGAAAGTGGTGATGTTTGGCCAGGATGCACAGCACCATCTTCTGGAGGAAACTAAGCATATCATCACAAATACCTCATACCAGCTGTCAAGCATGGTGGTGGACGGGTGATGATTTGAGTTTGCAGCTAAAGCTTGGCACATAAACTTTAATTTAACAGGCCGATAAAACCCAAGCACCCCAACAAATCTACAACAGAATGTCTGAAAAAGAAAAGAATCGTGGTGTTGTAATGACCCAGTGAAAGTACAGACCTCAACCCGATTTCAATGCTGTGGCAGCAACTTAAAAGAGCTGTACGTGAATTCATTTCAATACTTCAGTGAAGTGAAGCAACATTGTAAAGAGAAGTGGGCCGAAATTCCTCCACAACGATAAAGTCACACAGAAAAGGATTGCTTCAGGTTACTGCTGCTATAGGTGGTTCTGTTGAATCATAGGGTCTACTTTTAATGGGCTTGAATAGAGTCTTATGACAACTTCTTTAATATGTACACGTACAGTTGCCAGCTGCATAACCTATCAACAGAATACACAGCTCTACTTCCCCTCCCTTTGCTAAGCACACTAAATAACCTTATAATTTTAGTAACTCCCGAAATCTTCTTTACTTGCAGAAATTCTGACTTCATCAGAAATTTCCCATAACAGCAAAAGATAAAGATTTTTGGCCCTTTGAGCCCATCAGAACAGTGTCAGTGATTTCTCAATTGCCTGATTTCTTTGGGTCCTGAAACAGAAGCTCTACAGGTTTCATTTGTCATTCTCAAACTCTTTTGGCATGTTCCTCCCAGAAGCCAAAAACCTTTCCACCCCACAATTTGCTTCAAGTACTGACAATGAAAAATTATCTGAGCTAATCAATCTCTGGTTTGTTTTATTTTCCTGCACACTGCACCTTTGCATGGACCTCTCTTCCCTCCGTTACTC